AACCGTCTCTATTTGTCGGGATTGACAGTAATTGTTTGTTGACACAATGGGGCAATTTTTAGCAAATCCACTCACTCATTCTGGGGCCAATAAGGTCACCTAGTAGTTGGACCTCAGAAAAACTAGCAACACAGAGCACTTGTATCCCAGCACCCCCTGTTTTTGCCGCCTTCCGATGTGCAGCTATTGGAACAAACACAACATCTAGGGAGCAAGCCAAGCAGCTCCACAAAGCTCAATGTGGCATTTAGCCAAGGTGGGAGCGCCCACAAACTTCTCATGACAGATTATGCAACTCCCACAGCTTCCGTGTCGGCATTTTGCCGGGCCGTGTTGCTAAAGCTTGTCCCGAATGAGCTGTATGGTGATGGGGAGAATGGGATTAAAAATAGAGATATTATAATGCGACATGTAGATAGCTTCGTGAGATTGCGTAGGTTCGAGAGTCTATCCTTGCACGAGGTTGTACAGGGATTGAAGGTAAGTTAGTTCTTCCCAACATGTGTTTCCCTTCATATGTGTCCGTATTGGACAATGACCCTACCCGTGAGCAACAGGAGGTAGTATAAAACAAGTTGTGGAAACATTGTCTAAGCGTAAAAATTCCACAAAAATAGATCACTTGTGTCAAATGGCTTCAACCCCCTTCCCGAAACGAAATTCACGAATCCTCGTCAGCTAAGCTTTCATCTTCAGATATCCGCAAACGCACGGAAATCTTTCTTGAGGTGGTCTACTATATCTTTGACTCCCTCCTCATACCACTGATTCGTTCTAATTTCTATGTCACGGAGTCGAGCATTCATCGTAATCGTTTGTTCTACTTTCGGCATGATATATGGCGAAGACTTGCAGAGCCGCCCATTCTCCAGCTTAAGCTGTCAATTTTTGAAGAAGTCAGGACAGAAAGTGCCGAGAGAATCCTTTCCGGGCGCAATTTGGGGTACAGCTCTTTAAGGCTGCTGCCAAAATCATCTGGTGCACGACCAATTGTTAATTTGAGACGGAGACCGGCCAGGAAATGCGGGTGGGGAGGGTTGAGTGAGCTGGGTCCAAGCATCAATTCTCTCATGGCCCCAGCGTTTAATGTCCTCAATTATGAGAAACGCAAACGCCTGGGGATGCTCGGGTCAACACTGTTCTCCATTGGCGACATCTACTCTCGCTTGAAAGCTTTCAAGGAACGTAAGATGCCACACAACGTGGCAAGGACAAAGCCGTTTTACCTTGTGAAACTAGACATACAGTCGTGCTTTGACACGATCCCACAACAGCGGTTGATCCAACTGGCTAGTCGGCTTGTTGCTGAGGATGAATATATAGTGACCAAACATGTAGAAATAAGGCCACCAGATGAAACCCCCAATGCAGCAATCCCAAACCACCATATTATCAAGGCTAAACCGGCGAGGAAATTCATATCCAAGGCGACAGGATTTGCTGACCTCACAAGTCTATGTGAAGTACTTACTGGTAGGGAAGGGAAAAGCAAAAAACATACCATCTTCGTCAACACCTCGACCTACAAAAAATACCAGAGGAACGACATCCTCCGCCTTCTCGAAGAACATATACGAAACAACCTGGTGAAGATGGGAAAGAGGTATTTTCGACAAAAGACCGGTATCCCACAGGGATCCATCGTTTCCACATTGCTTTGCAACTTTTTTTACTCTGAATTCGAGCGGGAACATCTTGCGTTTCTGGATTGTGACAACGCCCTCCTTTTGCGGTTGATAGACGACTATCTCCTCATAACGACGGAGCCAGATCTGGCCTCCCGATTTCTGCATATTATGCTACAAGGTAATCAGGAGTACGGAATTTCGGTTAACCCAGAGAAAATTCTCGTGAACTTCACGACAACCATTCAAGGGCACAAACTACCTGGCCTCCTTGAGCCATATCAACGCCAATTTCCATATTGTGGGAACTTCATCGACACGTATACACTCTCCCTTATGAAGGATCGCACTCCAAAGGATCCCAGCCTTACTACCTCAGACACCTTAACTGTCGAGGCGAACAAAACCCCTGGAGTAAAGCTCTACCTCAAGGCGGTCAACTCCTTTAAAATGCAGGCGCATGCTATGTTCTTGGATACAAAGCATAACTCGCCCTCCGTAGCGCTCATGAGTATCTATCACATATTCCTCGAATCAGCTATGAAACTATACGAGTACACACGCTTCCTTGGCTATCGAGGTCATAGGGGGCGAAGAAACTCCACAGCTACATCATCTTCACTCCTTATTCGTACTATGGCAGCCGTCATAGATGTTGCCATTCACGTAATTCTGTCGAGAAAATCAACGGCCTCCCAGGCTGGATTCGAGAGTAGCGTGACAAGATCGCAAGTCCGCTGGCTCGCGGCCGCGGCATTTAAGTCTATTTTTGGTCGCAAACAGACCAAGTTTGTTGCAGCGATCCATTGGTTGAATGGAGTGAGTAGGGCATCAGAGCCCATAGCCGATGGAGAAGCAGTGATGCTGCAGAAAGTTGTCAAAAATGAGAGATTTTTTTGAATAAGAAACTAAATACTATATTTATGATGCTGAAGAATTTTGAAGACTTGAGATGAATTTAAAAACTATCATAATATTGATTAATAGATTGTGAAAAATATATAGTAAAATATTCAATTAATAGAAAAAGAATATATTATTTTTCATAAAGTTTTAATTCAAAATAATTGCTTTTACTTATCTTAAATTAAAATATATATAATATAAAATATTTTCTTAATCATATTAAGTTTATAGATTTTGAAAAATATATTAATATATGCTATATAACTCTATATGCAATAGCTGAGAGATTACTATAAAATATACTAATTATATAATATTATATTTACTTATATTATAGAAATTTAATTTTTATTATAAAGTATTTAAAAAATTAAAAAAAGTTTTTCTTTTTTATTAAAAGTTTAATAAATTATTTAAATACTAAATTAATTATTAAAAATATTTAATATTTAATATATATAAGTAATAAAAAAGAAATTATTAAAAAAAAATTACAAGATTATAATACAGATACTGATAATATGAATTAGAATTAATATGCTTCAATTTTAATTATATTTAATTGCTAGTGTATTGTACAATAATATAGTATCTTCAAAATAGTATCAATAAGAAAAGAGATAAAGAGATTGTATTTAACATCTATGTCATATGGATTGAAGAGTATAAATTTAAAATTGATTATAACTATATGATGAGCAGAGCAATACTATCTATTTTATAGCTATAACTTAATACTTGTCTAGTGAAATATCATAAAGCTATATTAGCAAAGCTCTTGAGATTAAAGTTTTGCAGTCAGAAATGATAATTGTAGATATAAAAGTTATAAATGTGGAAAAATTTGAGCTTGAGAGAGAAAGAGAGAAAAGATAGAAAATAAAAAGTGAAAAGTATAAAAACTTAAGTTTGTATCTTACTAATATAGTATCTGTGTATTAAATAGATTTATTTGTAAAATTTAATCTTAGTCAATCAACTAATTCTAAAGAGTTTCTGAGTGTAGTTAGTAAATTGTGAAAATTATATACTGATGGACAATATTTTATTATTATATATC